TCGCGGGTTCGAATCCCTGTCACACCAAACATGCTCGCCCTTTCAGCCGTGGGGGCGTTATAATGTGATGGTCAATCCCACTATTCGTTGGTGAAAGAGTAGCCCAAGAGTTGGTAGTGATGACTAGCTGCCTTCCCTCTAGTCTTACACTGTTAAATTAGGGACGGCTAGCGCAGATAGCCTTCGTGTAGCTTTGCGCGAAATTCAAAAACAAACAAACAAACAAACAAAGACGTAATGTGTGATCACCTTGCCTGGAGCCAATTGCTGCAAAAAATTTATCATGAAAGTTTGTTTGTTTGTAGTTATGCACAAAGCTATACAATGGGCTATTTGTGCTCTGCCCACCACGGGTATCGAAACCCGGTTTCTAGCGTTGTAAGTCCGCAGACATACCGCTGTGCCACTGGGGGGCGATCATGAAAGTAAAAGTATCGATTCAGTGTTAAACTTTAATCGTTTCTGAATTAAACTATTTTCTGTTATATCACAAACGTTTTCAATAAATAAAAACAAACCTCTTTAATCAACGGAGACTCTAAATTAGGAAAGCAACAAATATTTTTCCAGTTTTGTTGTCTATACATTTCATTTTATACATTCAGTACATAGACCAACAACAATATTAGGTTATACGATGAAAGGAATTAAAAACAATTTCTGTCGAACATAATTTCTTTAACAAGAATATTATGCCTTGTAGCACTGTTACGTCATCTTCTGACGTTTCACGCCAAAACTGTGAAGTACACATTTATAAAATTATCTTTCAAGCGGAATTACTACATCACTGTTGGCACAATTATTTTTGATACTTTAGAAAATTTACGTTGTTACAATGCGAATAATTTCTAGTTTCTCTTAAAACATATCTTTATACAAACACACAGCAATAAGTTCCTCCAGATACGCTCTTTTGATGAATTATGTTTTTCCATTATTATAGTTAGTTAAGTAATTAGTTTCCCAATAGATGGAACAGTCATCGTGAGATGTTAAAATTATGAAAAAACAAACTGCCTACCTTGAGAGTAAGTTGTTCTTCATCGATAGGGATATTTTGTAGATGCTTCGTACCATCAAACTGGAAGTATTCAGGATCTGGGTAGTAAAGTAATTGAGACAATTTCGGATAATGTGTAGGAAACTTCCTTAATTCTTCAACACCATCCATCAGAAATGCCATATGAGTTCGGATTGGTACAGAAACAGAAGGTGCGTCAACTGATGAATTAGAAATACTGGGGGTTTCGCACAGCATCTCTTCACCTCCCGGCCTTACACTGCAATCCTTCAATTCAGTAAGAGGGGGGAAAATAAACAAACTCTATTTTATTTTTAACCAGGTTATAAAAATCATGGTGGTAAAAAATAGGGTATTGAATTTTAAAAACAAAAGTGTTTTATATCATTCGAAACTCGCCGCTGAAAAAGAAAATAATTGATTCACTTCGGAGTCTCAAGTTAATTTTAAATCCAAAATTATATTCTAAAAGTTGCTTTTGATCAAACGAAATTACTCTGACGTCACATCGTAAGACGTGAGGTATTGTATATAATTGAAAGCTATCTTTGTTTCACAGATAGAAATGCTTCTTTGACACACGCTACGAATGCATTAAATTGTAGATTCAGTCTATAATTTATCGCATGCCTAATTACTGAGTGTTTAAATCCTAAAATTTTGGACTTAAAACGAAAATAATCCTTTATTCTAACTGTTGGTCTAAAAAAAATCTTAAACACACTTATAAATACGGTTTATTTTTCGTCCCTGCTTTTCCGTGTGGTCCAGTAAGAGGATAAGTAATTAGGCCTTTTTTTCTTTTTAATTTAAACTGTTAAGCATTTCATCTGAAATCTGTAAAAGTTCTCACACACGCACTTACTGGTTTTAAACAGAGAAACTGGGTGTGATATTTGGCTAACTTGTTAGTGCTATAGTTACTCATTGTCATAGTTTTTTTCCCTTTGGTACCACTTGCTGTAGGAATATGTAGTCTAATGTGTATCGATTTTAGAGACATCTAGAGGGTGTTTCCTTCCTATCTTGTATGTGTGGAATGACAAATGATGTTAGTGGTGTATCCACTATAAGAAAGATAACGCTATTGTTCTTGTATATTGTCGTCATTCCCTCTCTTAATTTTGAAAATGGTAATGTTCTGGATCTGATTCAGAGTTATCTCCATTTACCGTACACTACTGTCTTGTATCTATGTGCACTTGTCTTCTTTGGTTGACTTCAAACAGACAATAATTATTTTGTACTCAGACTTTACATTATTTTTTCAACTCAGTCAGAGCCGCCAGGCGTAATTCTGTGGGCTTATAAAGCTAAAAACAGGTTTTCGATACCTGTGATGGACACATCACAGATAGCCCATTGTGTAGCTTTGTGCTTATCGATAAACAAACTGATAAAAAATAGTCAGAGTCAGAAATTTTGTTTAACTGGATACATTTTCTGCTTTTCATCCTGATATTTGATATAAGTATTCTTACTTGTATGACAAGCACTACACTTGAAAATACCACAGTAACAAGAAGTACCATTTTTGTAGACTATAAGCCAACTCTGTAAGGGCGTAAGCAATTATTAAAATATTAGTAACGACTTTATTGAGCAAACTACAAACAAGGTGGTTCTAGACAGGTTTTTGTAAACACTGTTAATATTTTATTCGGATAAATAAATGCTGGTCATCTGATAAGCACAACATGGTGGATTACGTTTAATTTCAAACTATCAGCAAAAAAACACAATTGCAGAATAACACTCAAAAGGTTCAGTTTTAAGTAGAAAACTGCAGAATGGGCTATCTTCGCTGTGCCCACCCCCGCCTGTCGAATGTCAGTTTAGTGTCACAAATCCTCATGCCTCTACAAAGCCGTTAGGTTGGTAACCAAATGTAAGTTTATGACGAACGTGAATTATAAAAATGTCTCCCCCTCACGTTACCCAAAATGGATAAGAACACATTCTTATTACTCAACTACAAATCAGATATTCAAGTAGTTAACATACAGCATAACATGTTCAGACTTTTCAAACACAGTTGAGATATAATCAAAGCACGTAGTAAACAACAAAAGTCTATAAGAAGCTGAAAATCTTTCTAACCAAAGTTAGCCATTTTACCCACAAAATCTGAACGCATGTTTACTACCTCTTTCTAATCATACCTTTTCCCATTAAACATAAAAGCGATTCCTCGAAAGTATAAACCACAACTTCAACTCTTTCACTAGTATGGGTAATATATGTTCCCCTCTAGAGTGCTGCCATTTGAATTTAAAATGTGTCCCACTATGAGGAAAAGGTATCCCCCCTTCAAACTTCCCAAAGATTGCCAGTTTTAAGGGCGAGCATGTTCGGCGACGGGTTTCGATTCCGCGACCCACAGATTGTAAAGCGAGATCCCCCACTACCAGGCCATGATAGGCCCTGGGACAGAAGGAAGTTGAATATTTCCTCATAGGCTGGTTGTAAATAAACTGCGGATAACGAATGTTCGCATTAATTAATGAATCATCATTTGTCATCCGCTACCGCAGTCATGGGTTACGTGTAGGGCTTCAAATAAATGGTTCGACAGTGCTCGTGCGTAGCCAAATGTAAAAATTAAGACTGAAACGTTTTCGCGTGCCAACTCCTTTGTGGACTGCAAATTGAAAGGCATTAATTGTTTTGTTTTAGCTTTTGTTTAGCATTGTTCGCGGCTGACAAAGGTTCTCTCCCTTTTAGTTTTAATAAACCGTCGGAGTTCGTATAGATGACATTACTGTTTGTAACTACTTTCATTTAAACGCAACGCAAGAATATTTTCAAGAAATATTATTTGTTTATTTTATGTTAATGTATGATTATTTGTTTTTTGTTCAGTGCGGATCAAAATAATTCAGATAGTCCGTATACGAGAACTGTTCTTTATTATTATTATTCGTGTCCCTGGTTACATGTTTCCAAGAGGTGTTGCACGCAACACAACTGCAAAATGATAACTGACAGTAACAACTGTTTTATATAACGTGGTTAATCAATCGTGTAACAACAACTGAAAACTTCGGGTAGACAGTTCATCTTCATCAAGTATATATACCCCTCACATAATCGATATGCAGTTCCCATCTTTTCTGCTTGAAGACAACGTTTTGGACAAGGTGATTTTGCTTCGTATCACCACACCTGCTTAACTGGATGGAGAAAGTGCGTTGTACTTAACCCTCAAATTTTCGATTTTTTTTCATAACAGTCACTACCAATGAGCTCCACATATTGCATTATACAGGGTAATTTTATATTTTTACCTATTACAACATTCAGTGTAAAGAACTGACCAAACTTGTGCAAAATCACTCACATTCCAGTAAAATACACAGGGAACCCCCAAAAGTAATTGGTAGGATCAATTGAAATAGTGATGATATTTCTGTTTACATATCCTAGGGTAAACAGGGGGCATATTTCTGTTTATATTTTGTGTTTGACGAACAAAATCATTGACACATGAGCAATTGGATGCATAGTTTAAAGAAATCTGTTAAAAACAGACAGGGTCCCTTTCAAACATTCTAGGGTAAACAAGGAACATTGATTCTGGTAACAAGTGAAATCATGTTACATCCACATACGCTCAATAACTTTAGTACATGATGTGACTTAATGTTATTACCTCAATTTCTTTTTTAAATACCTAAACCTCTTTTAACCAACTGAATCATTAATTCTACGTGTACGATATCGTCTTTGATGTACAAAGATTGTGCATAAACACAAGACAGACATAAATGGATACATGTTAACGATTTCACATACCAAGAATACGATATAGCGATTATTATAACCATTACATACATTGGTAAGTTTTATGTGGTGGAAATCAATGCACGAATAATCTATCTGTAATTTTTTTTAATTGTTGCAAGTGTCAAAAATCATTTCATAGCTTTGAGACAATTCATAACTTTATAGCCGTCTAGATATCTTCTGCACCTCAACAAGTTTTATGATAGGATTTGTTTGTTTGTTTTGAATTTCGCGCAAAGCTACACGAGGGCTATCTGCGCTAGCCGTCCCTAATTTAGCAGTGTAAGACTAGAGGGAAGGCAGCTAGTCATCACCACCCACCGCCAACTCTTGGGCTACTCTTTTACCAACGAATAGTGGGATTGACCGTCACATTATAACGCCCCCACGGCTGAAAGGGCGAGCATGTTTGCGCGACCCTCAGATTGCGAGTCGAAAGCCCTCACCACCTGGCCATGCCGGGCCGTTATGATAGGAAAACATTTTTATTATATTGGATGTTCATTCAGATGATCATTATCGTTTTTCACTTTTCACGAATCTTATTAACAAAACTTCAACACAAGTTCGGTATACAACTGGAACTGAAACTTACCTGTTGTAATTCCTTTAAATGTCCAGTTACTGACGATGCCATCCTGATGATCATCTTTGGATGGGCTATGCTGTGGAAGTTTTTTCCTCTTATAATAAGTGTAGTTCCTCCACTGCAAACAAATGAAATGAAATAAGCATACAAAATAATTGTATAAAAACAAGTTACGTTTGTGTGCGCCATCTATAATCTTGTCATGCCAGGCCCTGTTAGATATGTTTTTGTCAAACATTAGGAACTCCCAACCAAAGTACTCGGCTGGAAGATCGAAAGTTAAAACATGAACGAAATCGTAAAGCTAGTCTTGCTTGCAACATTTACACTTTTGTAGAAAGTTTGTTTGTTTGTTTTGAATTTCGCGCAAAGCTACACGAGGGCTATCTGCGCTAGCCGTCCCTAATTTAGCAGTGTAAGACTAGAGGGAAGGCAGCTAGTCATCACCACCCACCGCCAACTCCTGGGCTACTCTTTTACCAACGAATAGTGGGATTGACCGTCACATTATAACGCCCCCACGGCTGAAAGGGCGAGCATGTTTGGTGGGACGGGGATCCGAACCCGCGACCCTCAGATTGCGAGTCGAGCGCCCTCACTACCTGGCCATGCCGGGCCCTTTAAAATATAAAAGAAACATTCAACTACGGTAATTAATATAATTTTATAACTTTTCTAGGTTACTTTAAATGGGAGAATGACAAGCAATACATGCATTTATTTAAAACGTTAGGTAATACACAATGAAAAAGAACTAACCTTTTTTTATTTGAAATACTACTCGTTACAAAATATATTAAAGTTAAGCGTCGAACAGGCGCAAATATGATTTTTTCTATACATGTACTACAAAACTAGAATAAATTTGTTAATATTTTCCTTCCGCATACCTCTCAGTAGTAACTTTAGGAGTAATTGTGTGAACTTCTGGGTCTCCCATGTACAAGAAGAACTTGCTTATCTGCTTCAAGTCACCGCGACTTTCATTTCTATTCTCACTGTCTACGAGTACCACAGTGTCATCTATCTCCAATGTCACATACCAAAGTTTGATTTCCGTAGAAAAGTTTTTAAAGTTTCCTGTATAAAACTCAATCTCGTTGGTCGTCGTTCTACAAAAGAAAATAATTCTAACTTCAGCTCAAAAACCACTTCCTTCATTTTACAAAGGAAACATTTTCTTCACGCAAAATTAACCTAGTAGTGTATTCTTCTGAAGAATCAACATGTAAACTGAAAGTCTGAGAAAGGCCCATCAGAAACTAGATGGCCAATTCTTCCGCTTGAGGTTTATACGTGATCTGAGAGCATTGTAATTCATAGTACTTTAAGCGGAATCATATGTTTTATACAAGTTTTAAATAAATATCTCAAAAACCAGTGACAAGAAAATGTCAAATTTTGGATTAACGACATAGAAACAAATTATTAGCATTTTAATTCTTCTGGCTTTATTGCACTTTCATGTTAGGACAAAGGTGTTAAATAAACCCACAATATTGCAAAACACAATTTAGCTATCGCCATTCTTACCTAATTTCCTTGCATGTAACGCCAGCCACTCTAATTTTTCTTTTTAATCCGATGTCCAAGTTTTTCCCATACATTGTCACTTTGGTTCCACCGGATAAAGGCCCTTTGGAAGGATAGACTCCGAAAAAAACAGGAATCTGAAAAAAAATATTACGTGAGTGTAAACGACTATAGAAACTCAACACCACTATTTTAACAAACATATATATATATATATAGTAGGCCTAACGATACGTAAGGTTACTTGTTACTTAGTTTCTGTTAAGTCTAGACCGGTGAAAATTATTTGTTTACCCAAAATTTTCAAAGTTTCTTTTATCATACCGTGCATTTAGATTTAACAGTAAATATCAGTTATTTGTATAACTTGCTATTGTCTTGATTACGTATTGTTATGGGTCACTCCCCTTTGATATCACTAAATCTTTCCCATGGAAGATGTTACTGCAGAATTATATAGATTTGTATACAGTTTATGCAATGCTATAATTATGTGGCATATGTTACGACGCTGGAGAACATATCATCCTATTTTTGCTGGAGAAATGACCAATTAATTGAGTTTCGCATGTGCACTGGAAGAGCGAACTATTGTTTTCTGCATATAATACTTTTGATTTTCAAGTCTTATCCAGCTTTTCCCTCAGCATTTCTGGAGAAACGAACTATCTCTATAACTTAGAAAACAATGCACTCGTCACTTTGACTGTTTTCCGTCATAAATATATATACTCGTTCTTACTTTGTTTTGTACTGCGTTTAATTTATTTATTTAGATTCAGTCAGTCAGAAATTCAGATTTTATTCTGTATAACATTTTCTGCCGTTACTCCTGTTATTGCGCCTACTATTCTCACTTCTAATGTTAATCAGTGCACCTGAGTATACCACAATAATAACTAATCATATGTTAGATTGCGTCTTTATAGCTTATCTATTCAAGTCTCTTCCACTTAGAAATGAGCTGCGAAAAAACTTATTACGTGCTCCACACTAAGGAAACCCTTGCGAGAAGTGCAGAAGTGTTATTTTAAATACCTAATAAATTTTGGATCTTTTTATAAAGTTTTTGAAACTTAGCAACCTTTACTTTCAAACTATTCCGTTATTTAGATTAGTTACGGCGTAGACGCATGAGAAAATTTTGTTCTTTACAACGTAGCAGGCGAGATAATGTTTTCGGGATACACAGTGCTTGAATTTTAAAGACATGAGAAAATACATTATGACAAGCTTCAAATTGCTTCCTCTTTAAAAGCGCAAAAGTAATTCTATGTAATTCGCATTCAGTTTAATGCAAAATGAAAAAAGTACAAACATGATAACAGGATCTAACATTAAGATGCGCAAAGCACCCACGGGAGTCTGTAGTGGCTAAAATGCTTTAAAGTAAAATCTCATGAACACGCACACAGCAAAAACCTAAGTCTCACTGTGTCTCCGAATTGTAAATCATTCAGAAGAGCTTTATGTGCGCCATGCCTCATTTAGAAAGATAAACCACTATCGTCTTTTTGTATTGTCTTAAATTGTGTAGATACAACAATGAGACACAGTTTTTTGCTTTTTAACCCGAAGAATATTTATTATTGGAGAGGAAAAATTATAGCAATAGTGTGGACACATGTTTTTTTCGAAAAATTATTTCTGCAGTTTTATTCCGAAAGCAAAGTCACATTTCCCAAGTGATGTTTCACAAGAAAGCCACCTTTAAAAATTTTGCATTCAAAAGTGCTGGATACATAGTTAATTTGTTATAAGCTTAGAAAGTTGCTCGTTAAAATCTAGATAAATACCTAGCTTAGAATTATAATGCTGTATGGTATTACGTATGACAAAATTATGATGGTGCGGATTCTGGTATTGTATTCTAATTCCAATATGACATTAATAAATGAATGATTAAAACAAATGTACTATTGATGTAAAAATTTGTCTGAACGTTTAAGCATATTCTCTGCAACTGAATGCTTAATAAATTGTAAAATTTTACAACTTACCTTGTAGCTGTAATCAGTTTGTGATGTTGTTGTTCCTTTCATATCATAACTTACAGAATTCCATGATAAGTCTAACACAGTAAGCTCGATTGGTCCTGTCTTTTCTTTCTGAATGCTTTTAGTTTTACAACGCAACCTAGAATTTTAGGTTTTGTTACATTTCATATAATCAAGTAATACAACATTTAATAACACTTGATGCATTATGAAAAAATGTTTTAGGTTTCACAGCCACAATGACAAAAATTTGTTCTTGCTTCTCTGATAGTGATTATATTCGTTTCAGGCTAACGTTTTAGAAAGTCACTCATATTGTTTCAAAGTGTGAGACTCAGAGTTGGTTGCACCCAGGTTCGTTAAGTCGTCCTCCCACCTCCGCCCACTTTTACAAATTCAAAATTGGTCTATGCCTGTGTCAAAATTATGTGCTGATTATGTATCATTTTGGATTTTACTACTGAGCTATGTATTCACATCCCCTTCACAGATACTGAACTCTAAAAGATAAGCCCCTCACTTCTACAATGAGCAATTCAAAATTGAACTATGATAAACTTATACTCTGATAATTACCCGTTTTGCATTTCACTTCCAGGAGGATATTAAACTCGGAATGTGACCCAGGATACAAATAGTCAGTTAAATCCAATAGATTTCTATCTATACTTTTCTTAATTAGAGTGTGAAGGTTTGAGTCCCTCATCCCGAGAAGAACGGACGGGGACAGATTTAATACCTTTTAAATATAAGAATGTAACAGCTCATGTGCAAATGTACCCTGAACTATTTACAAATTTCGATAAACTTGTTTACCACCAGACCTTCGGTAGATTCAATGTTTGATTTACTCTTAATCCTGTGAAGGTGTTACTTAATAATTATAATAAATTAACCTAAAAAAAAAGGTTATATTTAATATTTGTTGTTACGTACAAAGCTACTGAAAATGCTATCAGTGCGCTGCCCACCGCAGGTATCCAAACTTGTGTTTTCAGCGGTATAAGCTCACAGACTTATTGCTGAACCACCTGGGGGACTATATTATATGGACACTTTATTTCGCATTTTAATGACACCTGTGTATTTGATTGTTATTATTTTAGAGCATAAAGCAGCACAATGGGATACATTTGTTCTGTCCAGTCCATAAACTTACCGCTACACCCACCCGGGGACCCGTGTATTTGAATGATAGAAATGTATCATATGGTTAAATTTGGTTTCGATAATATTAAAATAACCAAATTCACGATCGATAAGGCTACCGCATATCACAATATACAAGGTACAACAATGTAATTATAGAGCTGCTTCATACAGAACATTGGTAACGTTTTACTTTTAAAATATTGTTTTATTTATTCTTGTAATGCTTTCTTTAGTACCAAGAGTATAATAACAAACGTACAGTATCAAGTGTATGGTATGTTACCTACATCGTGGCAATACTTTTGCGTGATAAGCTCCTACGTACAATACTTTTGGCGAAACCACAAAGAATTACCACCAGTCTCTGATAATTATAATAATCAAAGTTACAGACATACCGGGTCAACAAGTAAAGAGTGGGTGAAAATTTATCTCCTCATAAAAACAAAAAGAAAGAATTGAACTTCGCCAACGTTCAGCATTGGTTACCTAAAGTTACACCGTGAAACTAATTTACAAATCAACAAAAGTACTGAAGGCACAGAAATAATTTACTCAGTTGTGTTTTAAGCTACATAATCAAATGTGGCCTTAATAGAAAAGTTGCCTTAATAATGAAGTGACAACTAACCAAATGTGGCCTTATTAGAAGAGTTGCCTTAATAACGAAGTGACAACTAACCAAATGTGGCCTTAATAGAAACGTTGCCTTAATAACGAAGTGACAACTAACCAAATGTGGCCTTATTAGAAGAGTTGCCTTAATAATGAAGTGACAACTAACCAAATGTGGCCTTATTAGAAGAGTTGCCTTAATAACGAAGTGACAACTAACCAAATGTGGCCTTAATAACGAAGTGACAACTAACCAAATGTGGCCTTAATAGAAGAGTTGCCTTAATAATGAAATGCCAACTAACCAAATGTGGCCATAACAGAGGGGTGATCTTAATAATGAAGTGAAAAATAACGATGAGTTGCCTTAATAATGAAGTGACAACTAACCAAAAATGGCCTTAACAAACAGATGGTTTTAATAATGAAGTAACAACTAACAAAATGTGGCCTTAATGGAAGAGTTGCCTTAATAACGAAGTTACAACTAACCAAAAATGTCCTTAACAAACAGATGGTTTTAATAATGAAGTAACAACTAACAAAATGTGGCCTTAATAGAAGAGTTGCCTTAATAACGAAGTTACAACTAACCAAAAATGGCCTTAACAAACGGGTGGTCTTAATAATGGAGTAACAACTAACAATATGTGGCCTTAATTGAAGAGTTGCTTTAATAATGAAGTTATATTTTGACACATTTGATATATTGAATATCCTTAAGATTAAGAATATTTTAAATGTTATTAGTAGTCCGATGTTTTAAATCTAACTAAACGACTGATGAACTAATTAATACAAATTTCGATTTGTTTCCTCAAGTATTTTCGTCTATTCTAGTAACAAATTTTCCTTGCCAATTTAATTCTTATCGCTTATGTTTTTCTATTTCTTTGTACATATTTCTACATGATTTTTTCAGTCGTTCATTTTAGCAGGTCACATTACTACCCGTTATCGTTTTTCTACAGATTGTTAATAAATCAAACACATATTCACCTTAAATCATTACACTTAAATTATTAGGTAAACTTTCAGCAGATTTTGCTCGTTGCTTACTTTTCTTACAAATCCACAAGTAAGCGAGAGTGAGAAATCGTCTGAATAGTTCGTATACATAAACATGGATCGATCGATGTCTGTCAACGAAAATTAAATTACAGTTCTTCTTACAAAATTGTTTCTGGTTTGGTATCTAATTAGTAAGGATATGAACATCTATGGCAAACGTTTGGCTACAATCTCAACACACAAGAAAATAATGATGCTCCTGGCTTTGGTGATATAAATGTTTCTGAAGAAGAAACTGATGATAGTTATAAAAGTTGACACATTTGATTCTTCTTCTTTGTTTGACACAAATAGTGATTTACTTACATCCACTGTAACCCTAACATCAGGTAACTATAATCATATTCGCCACCAAGATGTTCAATTTACATGTTACAGTAAGATTAAAAACATGGAAAGAAATGAACGCATATATGTCTTAAATCATGAGCATGGACCCACGTTGTTAGTCAGCTTATTTTAGAACACACCATATACATTGTCATTCGAAAGGAACAGTCTTTAAAATCAGGAGTTATTTGCCAGATTTAATGCAGTATACAAAAAAAAAATGTGGGTTCAACCTAACAGGAACTATCTACAAAGGTCATACCGAAAGTTATAAAGTACATCTCAATTCTTCGTGAAAGATATTTTTATAAAGAAAAATAGGAAGATCAAACGCTATTTGTCTTCCGAGAAAAGAAAAGTGGTAATAGCTTTACTTACCGAAAGAAATATGTCGACAACCACATATTTCCCTTGAAAGCAAAGAGATACAATCATCCGATTATCTCCATTATTAAAACTAAGGATTTGGAATGCTTCCGGGAAGTGATTTATAACGTTGGTTATGATCTTCTTTTTTTTTTTTCAAGCACCCATATACAATGACTGTGTCAACGATACACCTTTATCGAAAATATCAAATGATGGTTCTACATAGGATTTCTGGCGTCAAATCCGCACACAGATGCTCTTTTACGGTATCACCATAAATTATTAAAACACTAACAGTTTTCAATAAGCATCATGCCTTTTGAATGATATGGTACTAATGAAAGTCTGTACTGCATCTTATAACAGAAAAGAAGTGGTGCTGCAACTCCCGAAGTCGTCGTCACAAGTAAGTTTCTAGATTTTTTGCTTGTCGCAGGTATGGAATTATTCAATACTCTTCCCTTTAAGACAATACAAGAGCATGCTACATGTTTCTTATGCACGCTTTGGAAAATGCGATGTATCTCATACGATAAAACTAATTTCACATTGAAATTGTTTCGAAGGTCAAATGAAGCATACAAGACAGTTTTCTCTAAGAACAATGAGATAAGCCGTACAATGCACGAATGTTAAATATATAAAGGATCTGATAACAGAAACTGTAACGGTTACAATCAGTGGAGCTTAGTGCAACAATAACTACGGAAATCCTAAATTTTCTGATATTCGAAAAAAAACTGGTTAAAATAAGTAGCTGTAGCTGTTTTACTGAATGACATTGTAATATAATATTTAATAATTCACATGTCTCTACTGAATTACGTATTTTCAACAATGATGAAGAAATCTCTAATAACAATTTTGAAGTCTGTGTTTTAACAGTATTCCTTGTTGCAGAGGTGAAGGGGAAATCAGCAATAACTCTTTGGAATTATATCACATATTCAGATTCTAAGCAAGCTATTAACATTGTAATTACCTCTCATTGTACCGAAGTTCGGATATGATACTCCCACTACAGTGATTTAAAGAGCAGTGAAAGTACACGACATCATAAACATCAACTTTAAGTCCTAAAATGGGGTAATGAAAGTGGCTAATGGTAACAAGCCCATGGTGAAAATTCTTTACGTAATGCATAACAGTAAGCTCTTGGTGAAGAACAAATCCAAACTTCTGTGTAGTTAACGAAAAGAGTAAGCCGGATACGAAACCGATTCAATCACTTTGTGTTAGCCTAAGTTGTATGATGATCAGACAATATTTGGACTGAACATTTCCGCTGATAATAAAGGTTCAACGGAATGTCCAGCAAAACATTTACGAAATGGTATTCATAATTGTAAATTTTATGGGGTACCACTTCAGATTTTCCAATAATACCCTAATCCTTTTCCTTCTGATGATGAAGAGACTTATAAACGAAGAAGAATGTGCATTGAATGTTCGATGAAACATAACAATTCACAGGAAGATAAGAAGATTAGACGGAAACAGGTAGATCCTCCCCTCTCCAATCCCTAAACAGATGATTATCATAGTTATTTCCATTTTGCAATTGAATAATAGTTGACCTCTCCAAAACAAAACCAGTTATTGCTATTGACTTATTTAAAAATGACAATAGATGTACTCTTATATCTAACTTGTAATAGATGCACCACAAAGGCATCTTTTGCTACTGAAAGAATTGACCTCGTGACCTCGAACGTTATAAGACTATCATATGCATAACAGAATAAAACTTAATGTGCTTCTTGGGAGATATTAGTACAAAATTTAAACCAGCACCACTATACCAAATCAAATAGCAAAGGCAACCCGGAAACCATGGTTTTCACTTTTTTTTTTTATTTCTTCGGATAACATTAAGATCCCATTACTCACAGGATTAAACATTACCAGAAATATTGACGAATAAACGTAAAATTCGTAAAAAAAACTAACAGATAGCGTCCATTAACTTTACGTTTTACACATACTTTTCGTTCATTTGAAGAAAGGAAAACCATTGGACCGATTTAGGAAGCGTGGGATTTATGTAACACTACTTTTCTGTTACTGTTTGAAACTACAGTTATCCACAAAGTAATACAGTGACAAGTTTCTGTACGTGTAATGTATATTTTTCAGTTCTTTTACATAGAAAACCTCATGAACTATTGAACCTCATGAACTATTCCTTAAGAAATATCATACCACCATTCAACACAAAGAGACGGACCAGCCGATTTTTTTTAGGTACAAAATATTGGCACCAGCAATATTTTGATAATATTAGAAAGTTATTGTTATTGAGAAGTTATTATGGTGAAAAGGGAGTAACACATTGAAAAACCAGTGAATGATTGCGGCATTGTTCGAACAGAGCATATTTTTTGTTTGAAAAAAATCTAAATATTTGTCAAATATACGGGCATTACGGCACTGTTCCATTAAACGTATAAATAAAAGAACCTTTAGTTTCATGTAGTAGGTATTATATAAAAGTACTCCTTGTATCTTCTCCCTTCTCTCCAGATCTGATTAAGTTATTAAAGATGTTACTATAATCATTTATGTTACAACTCACGCACGTACGCAGGGGGATTCGGCTGAACCCCCTACTTTTGTGAGGTAAAACATAATGCTTATATATTTATAGAGCAACTGCTTATGGTATTTAACGTTTTATACATAGTCTACATTCTTCTGATAAAGCATTAACATTTTTTCGCTTGAAATAGTCGCATGCAATGGCACTTTGTAATTGGAATCCGAAGCCGTATTGCTATTGTTAGGTTTTGTAGGCCGGATTCTTTACAGCGGGTTTCTGCGACTTGTTGGCGACAAATTTCAACAATAAACAAACAGCAACATAGTCCACTTATAATGTATTAAAACAAGTCAAACGTAGATACAAATGTTCGTTACAATGTTGGTTATCATACTTGTATCCAGAGTTTTTAATAATTGTCTCTTTTTTTCGTCAAGGTCCACGCAGTCTGGTTCAATTACTTTAGAATACAATTAATTATTATTCTCTGGTTTGTTATTACAATACAGTTTGTGATAACTTCACTTTAAAAATCGCCATTATACGTTCTTTATCCTAAACTTACAATCACGCAGTCTAGACCTAAATAATAATATTTTGACTCGTATTTATACCCCGACAGAAATCTAAAGCATTCCACGCAATATTAGATATTCTGCTTTCCACCGGTTGAATAATTACCTGAGATGTGCACAAACCAAAGAAAGACTGAGTACTCTAGCTTTAATACATAATCATTACTACACTGCTATCAACATTGAAAAAAAAAGTAAATCAGTTATGGAAAAGCACCCAGAAGAATGGAGCATACTAACATTTTATCTCAGTAGTACATACCTGTACGTATATGATAGCCAATGATTGAAATAGTTAATATAATATTGTTGTGCAGAGTTGTTTAAACTAGTAATATAATTTAACAATTAATAACTACTCTGTATGTAGATAGTACAGTACTTTACTATAATAAAATATACATATTTATGTTAATTTAAATCTAGCTCTCCATGTTGTGTTACAACAGAATGATGATTTGTTGACCTTTCATTGGATGTTTGTGGATTTTATGTGAATATCCATGCAATTGTTTAAGCTATGTTTCATGCAAAATTGCTTCCAAATTTAATCTCGTAGCACTTATGTTTTTACAAGTTTTCTGGGGGGACATGCCCCCAGACCCCCGCAGCATACTTTTCATGCTGATTAAACTTCGCACAATATGTGTTGGCTTTTGATCTCACAAATTAGAATCCCCCTTTCAAACATTCTCCGTACAGGCCTGCAACTTCAGACTTATGGCTTTAGTTTCCTGTAAGATTCATTTAATCCAAATTTTCCTGCTTTACCCTTTATCTTAAGGTCAAAAATATTTACATTCTTTACCTTCTTCAACTTTTCCAAATATATATTTGATTTCAATAATCTAAAACTATTTCAAACAAACTCGTAAACTTGAACAAATATGGTTACGAAATGAAAAAAAGAAACAGCAAGTACAATTCAGAATCATCTCGTAAACTTACCTATTTATTTTATGTACCTGAATGTCACAGCTTTCACCAGCAACTCTCACACTAATATTTCCACTAGGAGTTGAACCAAAATTATTTCCTTCAATGGTGATGAGGGTACCGCCTCCTACTGGTCCACTTGCTGGAAAAAACTGTAAAAAATACTTCGTCAAGTTTGTTTGTTTGAAGTTAAGCACAAAGCTACACAATGGGCTATCTGTGCTCTGCCCACCACGGGTATCGAAACCCGGATTTTAGCGTTGTAAGTCCGCAGACATACCGCTGTGCCACTGGGGGGCCACTTCGTCAAAATATTCGCGTAATACAACGTAATTCTATTAATATTCATTATTACCAGTTTTACGTACGTATGTAACGATCTCTTTGATTACCATTAGTAGCAGTGCTCGTCATTATTACTAGTTTTATAGATATGCGTAACAGTGTTCTGCTTGTCACTAGTCTTACATGCATACGTAACAGTAGTATTATGCGTAGTCACCGGTTTTACGTCGTATGTTTCAGTGTTCTGCACTGCCAATAGTTTCACGAGTACCAAGCGCTCTCATTCATGCTCTTGTGCATGTTTTAGAATAACTTTCGGATGTTTTTATATAAGAAGTTCATTTTAACATGCGCATTAAACTACAACGCGAGTACTAATATTACCAGTTTCTCTGTTATTATTTACATTGATACATTAGCTGTTGTTTTTTTTAGATTCATTACAATAATTGATGAACAAAATATAATGTTTATATACTATAGGAGGCCCGGCATGGCCAGGTGGTTAAGGCATTCGACTCGCAATCAAGGGTCGCGGGTTCGAATCC